TTCCTAGCCTAGGTACAAAAATTGTCCATCCCATTCAAAGTGTATGAACACTGATGATGACTATAACGGACTTTGAAGGGAAAAACGTCCCAGCAAGCAGGGAGAAGAAAGGCTGCTCCAGGAGTTGCTTGTACAACACGACTCTGCCCCCCCTCCCCCCGCTCCAGACCTGGGTGCCTCTACACTTCTACTTACCTCACCCTCCACCTCAGGAATCCCTTCGGGATTTCTTCGGCCAACCTGGAGGAAGAGGCAAACATTGTTATGGAACTGGTCTGTGTGCGCACCGCACCACCACTGTGCTCTGCCGCCGCGCGTCCAAAGACAAAGGCACAAAAGAAATCTCTATTTAAATTGAAACTTTACCTTCTTGGCGTAAAAGAATGTCGTCTTTTAAACTATGCTCTCCAGTCTAAGCACCATTCCTTCCTCGTCTTTACTGTCGCCTCGGCAGCCTTCACAGTGCAGTAATGTGCGATTTTCTTTCAACCATTTAGTATCGGTTTGATTCACATTCGTATACGTATTAAATGCGTGATCATGAACATGCCCTTTGCACATCGTCCCTCAGCCGGGAGCGACAATCACCCACTTGCCAAGAGGATTATCGAGGATTGAGGAAAGATGATGAAAGCGGAAGTGAGAGGATGGCTCAAGTGACTAAATGGAAATGGCACGACATAGCGTAACGCTTATCCGACAAAGAGAAGCAGCAATGCGCAAAAGTTTGGAAGGAAAAGAAGGAAGACCTTGTTTCGCGCTACCATAATTTTATGAATCAGTGAGAAAACTAAAACAACTGAACGGTTCTTTTCTCATGTGTATGAAAAGAGTGAACCCGAGTTAGGAATCCCCTGACTTTGCCAACCAGTCTTCATAAAATGGTCGATTAAGTTTATTAGGCAGTGTATTTTTCACAAATTTTTGCTCGTGACGTCTCTTTCTACATTTGAAAATATGTTAATGTAGAACGCAGGTCTTCCTTCCCGTGGCGGCTTGCATGGGGTTAGCGGTAGCACACAGCGTGACTCGTCGTGGGTCATGCGACTCAAGCATCACCTTATTTATCCCGTGTCAAGCCTCCGACCCTCGTTTGCCTACTCGCTCCGCCTTTAGGGCACCATAACCACTGGAGTAGGCAAACCCGCAACACAGCCGTGTTGTGTCGTAGACTTGACAGGGGTAAAATTAGTTGTTGCTCCTGTCACCTTGGCCCCGATCGCCTTCACCATCATAGCCATAACGATGAGAGACTCACATACGACATATGAAAGCCAAATCAAGTCCCATTTTGTCCGGTTAATGAAGAGTGACACACAGACGGGATGACCAGCAGAGAAGTACTAAGGCGTGATCAAGAATGGTACGGATGGAGGATCGGACACATGCATGTGGATTGAGGTTCCAAAGAGGCAAAAGGGAGTTCATTCATCGAAGAAGATGAATGGAAATTACCGAACCCACCGAATATGCCACTAATACTCCCTATACTGACTTGTCCAACCCCTGTATCTATCAATCATAGTCTATAGATTCGAAGTATTTTGCACCACAGATTTGCGTCGTTAGCTGAAAGACGCCCGAATCGCTCACCGAGTCGGTGGACAGTGAGCGGTTGGCCAGCCTGGAGGCCGGCTGGAGGGCCCGCGACGGAGGGCCGTCCGACGTCATGGCCGAGATGGAGTTGACGGCGACGTGGTGCGAACGGTCTCCCGCGCCGCGCAGGGGGTCTCGGATCACATTGAGCGACGTGCACCGCGACACAGAGCTCTGCAGCGGCGTCTCCACGGAGACGGGCGTCGCGTAGCCCATGTCGCTCGGGGTGTCCTCGCAGTCTTCCGTGGGGTCCTCGCGGCCCGAATGCCACCACGTGACACACCACAAGCGCACCCAGGACCACGTGAAAGGCCGTGGTTTCGGCTGAAACACAAGAAACAGCAAGGGCGTCGTACACTGTCAACGGGGATGAGGGCAACTTTTGTATCCAGCGAGGATGTGTTGTTAAGCACATGCGAATGAAATTGTGTCTCTAAACTAGACACAATAAAGCGCAAAAAAAAGGTATTTAGACAATGTGCAACTTGTAACCTTTCAGATACATGCAGACGAATTGAATTCGGTCTGCATGTGCACGAAAACGTTGCCTTCTTGGGAGCAAAATTATTCCTTTACATTTATGTAAACTTTAAAATGATTGCGACAATGCTAGCTATTCAATTCAAACAAAACTATGTCGGGAACTGGCCAGTTAAAACAAAATCGAGTCATCACATAATTTTACACTTCTGAATCAGACTGTTTACAAGTCGTCGGGTGTATACAACCTGAAACAAAACCGCCGCCTATGTCCCTTTGCGGAGGATGAGGAAACGAGCTCGCCGCGCCACACACATTGCTGTGCGCCATAAATCCGTCCCGCTGGGCCGTGCGGGCCGTGTGGGCATGCAGGGTGGTGACAGCGAGAGCCTCGGCTCGGCGAGTGCAGCGCGCATGCACCGGCACAATGGGCATGGCCATCAGAGCGAGCCTCTCATTACTGGGACCACGGGGCGGGGCTCGGGCGGAGGGCCAGGC